AGACAGGGGTGACTTTTGAATCAGCAGCCTGGAACCCGCAGCTGAATTTCTAGGCTGAAAGTGCTTTGACCTCAGGAAGGGGAGGCAGTCGCTCTCAAGTGGGATATTTGGCTCTTCTCTCCGGTGTGATTGCTTTCTGCCAACCAGTCTAACTGGATGTGTGCTCATGACTGTTTCATGTAGGGAGAAATCTCAGGATGATGCCCTATCCTTCCCAGTGTGGGCTAGCTCTGAGCTTGGTGGCCTACCCTGGCCTGTGCGTTTTGTCAGAGGAGCTGCACCTTGGGGGCTGCAGGGAAACAGCTGCCAAGAGATGAATACAGCCAGGATGGAGAATACCAGACTGCAGCTTTCCTGGGGCTCCATGTATGTTAACCTGGGAGCAGGCTGTGATCCTGCCGTCTGGCACCCCACCTCGATAGAGCTCTGGGTACAGCCCTGTGCTGCCCTTCACACCAACCTGCAAGAACAGCCCAAACCAGCCAGGTTTCCCCTGGCAGAGCTGTGCCTGGCTCTCTTGTGCCTCTCAGGGTGGCTGGAGAGGAGAACCTGCTGTTCACAAGGTACAGTGGGGGCTCCTGCTGTCCCGTGTGTGCCCCGTTGAACCCTGCAGGCTGCTGGGGGAAGGAGGGGCAGACACTCCTTTTGTGGAGCCTAAAGGGAGAGTAAAAGATGCCTAAAGCTACTCAGGCTGTGCCAGGCACCTTGGGCATAAGCATAACAGGCTCTGGCGGTGATTAATGCTAGCGCTGAGCGGGGATCCCAGGCACCTGTGGGCACACGGCAGACAAGTGCTCTGCCTGGCTGGAGAGCAGCTGGCTTGTGTGAGGAAGACACGGTACGTCATCGAGGAGTGCCCTGTGTCTGTGCAGACGCGTCCCTGCTGCTGATGGCTTCCCTGTGAGGCTGCCCGCTGGTGCATGCGGGTTTGCACATGTGCTGCAGCGAGGTAAGACCCAACATGTAGCTATTGGAGAGCCTTCACTGGGACCTTTCCAACCTCCGTTCCTATCAAGCATCTGCTCCAGGGATTTCCAAAGATGCCTGGTGGTAGTTCAGCAGCTTTGCACATGATGCTGAGCAGCGTCTGGAAGAGTAGCCGAGCACCTAATAACTGAGCAGCTCCTGTTCAAGCCGTGAGTGTGCCTAACTGCTGCTAGCTGCTCCCTCCTGATGCCTTCCTGGGAAATGGGGCTGTGATTGTATTTCTGCCTTGTGGAAATTTTTCCTTCATCAGACTGGGCCTCACAAAGAAGTTCCCACTTAGTGGTAATTACTTACTTTAGAAGCTGAGTGTCTCCTGAGGATTGCAAGTAGAGGATTATCAAATTAATTGGTTAAGCTATGATGTGCTTTTGTGAAGCCAAGGCCTGTTTTATTTGTGAACTGAAATACAGGCTTAAACATTACTAAAGCACAGATCCGACCCCTCGTGTATCCCTTGTGTATTGTGGAAGACAGTTTTTTCCTAGTGTTCTTCTGCAACATTGCTGTCAGTACAGAGGGCCGCTTGCAGCATCAGTTGCTGCAGCGACTTCGTGCTTTTCTTTGACTAAACTTGTTTCAAACCAACAGCTTCACTGGCCTTATGGCACCTGTGTGTGATGAGTGACGCCTAATGCTGCTGCTTGGTGGCTTCCTGGGTTGGCACAGGCTGCTGGGCACAAGGTGGATGCACCTTGTATTAGGGGGGATCATCATGGGCCTTACTCGAACCGGCATCTTAAGGGCATGACTTGATCCATGGGAGAGCTGCATAACCGTGAAAGGACACGGGAGCTGGCAACAAGTCCCAGTTCAGGGATGGGAACGTGTCTGCAAGTGGGATCACAAGCAGCTTAGCTTGTGATCAGCAGCTTAGCAGAGGCTAGAGATCCTGGAGTACTATCCTGCCACAGCCTGCTCCCACACTCTGCTTTCCCTTGGGGATCCCTACGGGCATAGGAAGTTCCCTCCAAAGCAGCAGTTTTGCCGGGCTAGCTCATAGTCTGTGTGAGATATTTTCCTATGAGTTGCTGGCTGCTGTAGTGAAAGTGTCTGGCCCGAAGGCGTTGCACAACTTCCCCTAGCTTGGGTGATGTCCTTGCCATGCAGAGCGTCTCACTTCCCCGTGTCTCTTCCAACAAAGCCAGGTCCTATTGGAAAAAATAGAGCTTGCCCTGGTTCACACAACCAGAGTTAAGCAGAGATCTCCTAACAGCAAGCCAAAGGCAGAGGTCCCCATGCCTGCATCTTATCTCTCCCTGTTCTCTCGCCGTGTTCTTACTGGAGTGTAGTTTGCAGTTAGGACACAGCTGTGATTGCAGTTATGAGGTTGTGATCTCTGAAGCTTCAGAAGACTTGGTGTAGGGACGTTTCTTTCATCAAGTTACAACACATCCTGCCTTTTGCTACATGATATACATACACTGCTGGTGCTTAGCAGCCCTTGGCCGCCTCAGTAACTGGGTACCAAAGTGATTCCCTCGGGGTAAAATTGCCCATCAGCCTGTGCCAAGGAGTGGAGTCTGCTTGTCCAGGAAATCCCCCAGCCTGGGCAGGCTGCCCAGCACCCCGGTGCCAGGAGTGTTTGTTTTAGCTTAAAATACGGCTTTCATCTGGCCTGGGTGCTTCCTTGGAGTCTCCGGCGTCTGGGTTGCCAAACAGGCCCACATCTCCGCTGGTGGAGCTGGATGTCAGGAGCCTTCTGCACTGGCATCAGCGGTTAACCTAAACGCAAGGAAACCACAGGCCTCGCGCGAGAGCAAGGAGCCGCTTCTGCGAGGAGACAGCCAGGGACTGTTGGAGAACAAACACGGCCTTGTTGTCAGCATTCGGTCAAGAGAGGCTTTTTACACCCACTGAAGTGCTGGCTACAGCAGCCTCTTATGTGCTCCTGCGGAAAACGGATCCACAATGCAGGACAAGAGGGAAAGGCCACTTTCCCATTTGGGCGGCATGGGGAAGCTCTATTTGGATCTGGTGAAAAGCATCATGATGTTCCCTGGGCACAAACTTGCTCTTAGTGCAGGGAACCACAGGGAATGGCATCCTTGGTCCTGATAAGGATGGAGGGGTGAGGTGAGCCAATAACTTGGAGCTAATGGACACCTTTGCTGTGTGCTCCTAGGCCTGGAGGACTTGGAAAAGCATGAAAAAGGAAATAGTGGTTCTGAGCAGCCCAACTGCAGTTCCGAGGCTGCTGGGACCAGGCTGCTTGGAGGCTTTTGCTCTCTGCTCAGAGCCTGGTGCCTCTTCAAGCCCTAGGATAACTGCTGAGACCTGTTTGCTGACTAAAAATACCCCATGGAGGGAGCTGGGGTTACCTTGCATAGGCTGTTTGAAACGCTGCAGTTGAGGGCGAACGTGAGGAAGTCTCTGTAAAACATCTGGCAGTGAGAGACGTGGTGGATCCGCTCTGCCTCTGTGTGCTCTGTGCTCGGTGCCAGACTCCACCGGAACCAGCTCCCGGCTGGCTGTGGCACTGCAGGGACGGTGCCCTGTGTGGTTTGCTGCCTTCGAGGCAAGGGGCAGTGTGGGCAACCCCTCAGCACCTCCAGGAGGATGCTGCAAAGGTCTAGCCATGTTTGTGGGCCGTGAGATGTTGGGGAAGTTCATGAAGGGCAAAGGTACTTTGCAAACGCAGCCTTATGCGGGAAGGGAAAGCAGTGCTCCAAGGCTCTGCCGGGGAGGCTGCCACGTTCCTTATTTTCCTGCTGTGAATGTGCCTGGAGAAAAAAAGGGCACTCCTCTGTGCACACAGACAAGGAGCACAAATTCCTTCAGAAGCTGCAGATGCCAACAAGTGGATAGTGCTTGTGCTGGGTGAGTAGCACCCCTGCATCTGCAGCGACGCTTTCCTTCGGCTGACGCGGTAGCATTGACCCATCTCACCTGGCGTGGGCTGCAGAGCCTCCCTGGGGAGCTGCAGTGGGGAGAAGGCAACTTTCTGCTGCGGTGGGAGGAGGCCCTTAGCTGTCCAGAGCCCTGGAGATGCCTCTTTCAGGGAAAGGGGCTTGTTTCAGAGTTGGGGCTCAAGGCTTTGGGCCTGGGCACGTGAGCAGACCTGGGGTGCCCCCGGGCACCTGCCTGTCCGCCCCCTCCATCCCTGGGCGGCTCTGCCCTCTTCCCCTTGTTACTCCTCTCCGCTCTTGCCTGCCTGTTTGGTGACCTTCCCCACCGCTGCAGCAGCATTTTGGCCCCGGGCCATCTTAAACAATTAATGAGGGGTGGAGAAACTTGCCTTGTTAAATTACTTCCTCCTTTGGGAGGGGGTGAGGTCTCCACATGTAGCCGCTACCAATGCAGTTTGCAGCCGCTGCCTCAAGCGGTCACTGCCTCTCTGTTTTCTTTTCCAGAAGTTAGGAAAACAGTGTTTTGGAGTCCCGTTTTCTTTTCTTTCTCGGCATTTTGCTTAATCTGCGGCATTTCTTGGGATCTCGCAGCGCGGGGAAACTCCTCCAGACGCAGAGCGAGGGGAAAAAAGAAAAAAAAAAAACAAGGCAAGAGGCAGGGAGGATTTTGCCAAAAACCACTTGGGGAAGCTGGACACCTTCCTGGGATGTCTGCTGGGTGCTCACTCACCTCCAGCAGCTTTTCAGCTCTTCCTGGGCGAAGGCAGCACCGCGACGGAGAGCATCCGTATTAAGCAGGTCCGCGAGGAGCTCCATCCGCACTCGGAAGCGCACGGAGAGCAGCGATGCCGTAAGGAGCAGCCTGCCAGCCCCGCTGCTCCTGCCCACGTCGCCCGTGCCCCCAAGGGCTGGGGGTTTCAGCTCCCCGCGCTCGGTCTAGCGCTGACGTTGGCTGTCAGAGAAACCTCGGAGGTCCCCTGCTCAGCCCCGCTAGTGTCATGAGTTAGATTAGTTGGAGCTGCGCTGGGGGCGGCGAGGGCTTGGATTACACTCCAGAACTCCGAGTGCTTCGGTGGTTCACGTCGGAGGGGAGAGGAGAGCCACCCTGTCGCACCCATGGAGGAAAAAGAGAAAAACCACTGCCTCTGGAAGTGAGAGGGAGGAAAAAAGGAGGCCAGGAACATGGTAAGGAAACGGTTTTGCAGAGGGCGCGAGCGGGACAGAGCTGCAGTCGGGCAGGGCACCGAGGCGGCCGGCCAGGAACACAGCTCTGCTTTGCACTTCCCGTTACTCAGGCGGCAAGCAGGACCCCGGGGTGCCAGCCCTGTCACCCGGGGGTGCCGCGGTGTTCGTGAGGGTGTAGGGCTCTTCTTGACATTGATATATATATTTTTTCCTGCTTGCCTATTGGGGACACAGACTTGGCATGTGGGGCCCTGTGTCCTGAGCTGCCCATGTGCTGGGTTCTCCTCCCCGGCCCCGCCAGAGCCACGCAGAGGCTGGCAAGTGTGTGAGCAGTGGCACATTGTCTGTCCCTCCCCTGTCCTGCACCTTTCTGGGAGGCCGAGGTGACAATTTTGGATCGACCTGACCAGGGGTCAGTCCGCTGGCTTGCATGGGATTTCCCCATGTCTTCTGGAAGGTTTGGCTCCTGCTGGGGCGCTGCCATCGTGCTCGTTCTGGGCTCCAGCGGGGATGTCGTGGCGCAGGTGTGGCCCCACATGAGGCCTGTGAGGCAGGTGGTTCCTCTTGGCAGTGGACTGTCACTATGTGGCCATTACGCTTTGGTGCCAGGGATGAGCTGCTGCACGGATGGGTATGCAGAGTGGTGCTGCTGGAGGATGCCTAAAGTAGCATATACATAAAGTCTTTTGTTATGCGGCCCATAATATGTTATGTTATGTAGCTCACTTACCCCAAAACCGCTCTGTGAAGCCTCATAGCGCGAGCATGGCAGGAGTCTCTCCTGCCTGCGCTGCTGGCCGCTCAGGCGCTGTCATGGCAGGGATTTGCTCGCTTTCCCCAATGGTGATTTTCCCTCCAAGAGCTCCCCCTTGCCTGGAGCCTGGTGCTGGTGGGCCCAGGGGATGGCTGGGCTGCATGGGCAGAGCACAGCTTTGCTTTGCTTCCCTTGGACCATTTCTGCTCAGGCAGGTGCAAAAGCCCCCTGGGTGGCTGGTCAGAGGAGGAGAAGCTACCGATAATCCTGCTCCGTGGTGCAGTCTGGTCCCCTCCAGTCTCCGTCCCCAAAGCAGGAGGGACAACTTCCTCTCGGGGATGTCCCTCAAGCCACAGCAGGTGCTCAGAGAGCCCGGGGCTGCTTTTCCACCCTTGTGTGGGTGGCAGAGGCCGCTCCTCCAAGGTAGTGGGTACTGCAGGACACTGCACAAGCCCAGCGGGCCCTTTTCCAGGTTTCTCCATCAGAGACACTTCTCAGCTGCTGCTGGGAAAAGGTTGCAACGGAGAAGGGAGTTTTCTCCTCCATTTCCAGCCAGACTATGAATACATGGACCTAACCCTCTCTGTCTAGCAGGTGTAACCACCATGGCTTAGATGTTTTCCTTGGGCTCATTGAGAGCTGCTCTGAGACCCAGTGTCCTTGTTTCTCTCGAAGCCCCCTTGGTCACAGAAGACCCATCCCACTTGTCATCCCACAGCACCTGGAAGTAGCGTGAGTACCACAAGACGTGTAAATGCTGGTGTGCTCCTGCACACAAGTGCAGGGGGCACCTCCAGACTGGCTGGAGAGAGGATGAGTTTCAACTGAAAACATCATCTGTCATCCTCCAGTTACATCATCTTCTGAGGTGGGATGGGAATAAGTCTGGGAATCACAAAAAGCTTTAAGCATCGCCGATCTTTTATTTCTGTGCCAAGGAGATGAGCAAGACGTTGGAACGCGTACAAAGGCCAGAGAGATGTAACCCTGAGCACATGGAAGTGGTTTGCAAGCATCTTCTCTGGGGTGAAGAGGGTGGCACTTTATGCGTTTAATGCCCAGCTTCTTTCTGGAAAAAAAAAATTAGCTGGGCAGGTGAATTCGCAGCTCCTAACCATAAAAATACTGGGTGGCTGCAGATGTGACAGGGCAGATTTGTGCACATATCTCTGCGCAGAAATGGCCTGGTGTGTTCTGCTCGCGGGTGGGAAAGCAGGACAGCATGTGGCCGGGGGCTGAGGCACAAGAGGTTTCTCATGAGAAACACGTACGGACCAATGGATGTCCCCCAGCACAGCTGGCTCCGGCCGTAGCGCTGGCTTCCAGGAGCAGCATGGAGTATGTGCCTGGCTCGAGTGTTGGACGTCGGGGTGGGAATGCACTCCTGGTGACTGTCTGAGCTGTCCCCTTGGGTCTGTGACATGTGCTGTGGAGGCAGGAGTGCTTTGCACTCATAGCCTGTGTGCTGGAGACGCCGGCTTTCCAAAGGACTCCGGGGGCGGTAAGCGCTCAGGAGGACGTCCGAGAGCCAGCAGTGCTGCCTTTGCAGCTACACAGGGCTCTAAATCCTTTCTGTGAGTGTATAAAGGAAGGACCATTGCTAAAAATGATTTCCTGGAGTTCTTCAAAAGAAATGGCAAAGCAATAATAGCTGCTACAACAGCAGATAATGGAATCGACATCATCAAATCATCGACAGGGAATAAATCCTTCCAGGCACAGCTGAGCAACTGTATCAAACTGCCAGGGGGTGAAAGACAGGTTCATGGGGGTAATAGGAGAGGGTAAAGAGGGACTTAGATTCTGCTTCTTTCTGTGCCTCTTCTGCTAGATTTCCTACACCCTGGGTCTTCAGGTTTGGAGAGAGAACGTCACCCTGCTTACCATCATTTTGCTTATGCAAACTTCTTTGGAAAGATCTCCAAGCATCCTCGTAAAGGAGCCTCTGCCCAAAGCTCCCGTTCTTGCTCTGAGCCCCCTGCTCCAAGGTGTGAGGTTCGGGCAGTGCAGGTGGCAGCGCAGGCAAGAGCCTTGCGCGGGTCTCGCTGCTCGTCGCTTCGGAAGCGACATCCCTCCAGTGCGTTGGTTCCTAAATACCGCAGCACAGACGTTGAACCCCCGTAAGTAAGGTTGTAGCTTCTCCTCCAAGATCCCGCTGTGTGGGACTGTGCACCGGGATGCCCTGGGTGAGCCCCTTGCTGCTGCGATCAGCTCTTGATCTAAGTGGAATCAAATGGTTCAGCTGGGAAGAAACAGGGCCGGACACGGAGAGGAGCGTGGATCTCTGGGAGGGCCTGTTGCATCTCGGCCGCCTCTCGCCGAAGCCGAGCCCCAAACGTGGCTAATGCATGTGGGTTTTGTGCTAGCTGTTGTCATCTTTCTGAATACATTTACCTTTTGAACAGGGTCTGTCTCATATGCTCTGGGAGGCTGGTATGCAGACCCGTTAATGGATCAAGGGGGAAAAAAATGCCTGTGGATGTATTCGCCTTTGTGTTTGGGCTTATAACCACCCACGTTTTGGCATACGTCCCTTCAGTGCACAAAGATGCCTTTTAGGAATCGTTAGTTAAATCCCCACCCTCCTTTGATATGTATGGAAATAATGGGACACGTGGGACTGTTTTCTGATTGAAAAAAACAAGAAGCTATAAAGGGAGTAACTTTTAAAAAGGCCTGTGTTTTCTCCCTCCTAACTGGGGAGCTTAGCAAAAGCAATCCACTAAATCAACGACTGATTTGCTTTGCTGTCCAAGGGGTGTCCTGCTGGCGCTGTATCTGAATATAGGAGAAAATATATGTAAATATATATGTAAATATAGGTAAATATATATGAACATAGGAAGAAAGCTTTCCTCTAAGTCCCAGGCTCAGCTACTCAGGGGTTGTAGAGTTTGAGCCTATGATTGACTGCATGTGTGTCCATTGCCCAACAAGCTCCAAGGATCTTGAGCCTGCAGGATGGGTCAGGAGGTGGCATCTGATCTGAATGGAGGAGGCCTGTGGAGGAGGACACCAGTTGATGCTTAAGGCTCTCGAGCACCGAGGCATCTGTGCTTGGACATGGAGCACAGCGATGGTCCAAGCCAGGCCCCAGTGAAGGAGCTCCTGGGCAGCGTAACCCACCAGCTGCAGGGTGTTACAGCAGGGCTGGGGCTAATGCTCCTTGCTGTTGCTGGAGGTTGAGCTGATGGAGCCACGTCCATCTCTGGGCTGCTTGGTCCTTCTGCCTCATCCTTCCTTGCAGCATGTTCCTCAGAAACGAGGTGCGCACTGGCACCTGATTGCAGCTCATATCTCACGGCGGAGATGTGCAGGGAGGTGCTCCTGCAAGGAGGGGCCCTTGTGCTCTTGCTGTGATCAGTTGTCCCCTCTGGATTTGCTATTCCAGCTTCCAAGTTGCTTAATTTCCTCCTTAATGTAGCAGGACTTATCTCACAAGCAAATTGCAACAGAGCGCTCAAGACCAGGAGAAGCTCTGCCTTATCGAGACCACGAAGCACCACGAAGTTGTTCAACAGAGCATGTTCTCTTCTCAAAGGCATCCGCTCTTGATCCTCAAGCTCCGTGATCCGCTAGTCCGCTTGGGAGCCTGTCCTCGTGGCTCCTGCATCTTGCAGAGGGAGTGGTGGATTTGAAGGTGATCTGGCTCCAGGCTCGAGCAGAGCATGCACGAGATGCTGGCGCAACCTAAATGCTGACCCCGTGAAGATAAATTCCTGGTGTTCATCAGCTGTCTTGCTGAAGGATTATCATTTTTTCGCTTTGAGTGCAGCAGGCCGCCCATCTGCTGCAAGATGCTCCCAGATGGGTGTCTGGACACGAGGTGTTGGTTATGGGCTAATGCCCCTGGCTAAAGGCTTTAAAATGAGTTGACCCATTTGGCGGCGAGTTCACCCCGGCTGTTTTACAGACAACCGCTAGGAACGGATCTTTCTGCTGAGCTATTGCCCTGTTATTCTGTTGGCATTAAACACAAGCATTAAGGGGGATGCAATCGCTCAAGCTTGCTTGCCAAGCAGATGAGAACGCCTAAAGCTGGGAGTGGAGCAAGTGCTGATACTAAGATGAAGCTCAAGTGGTTTCTTCTATCAGGTAGGAGCAAGTGTTTTAGTGCATCTGATAAAAGCTGGTAAAAAAAGAAGTGCACTGGGAAATTCTTGGTTGGGGCATGAGAAATCGGTTGCATTTGGCAAGACTTATCCTGTCCTAGCATTTGAGACTCCTGGAAGAAGGTGACACTTGA